TGAGTAAGATTGTTATACAAAAGTTTGGTTGTTTTATTTGTTTTGGGGGTTGTTTGTTTGGGGGCAATATCTCATTTAACCCAGGCTAGCTTCTGCTCATTCTTGTAGCCAAAGGCAAGGATAACTTTGCCTAGGATTATTAGAATGTACCACTGCACCTAGTTTTGTGTGATACCAGGTATTAAGCTGTGTATCTAGGCAAATACTTTACCAACTGAGCCATATCCCCAGCCCAAGTAAGATTTAACAAAACATTAAGTGTGAACTTGGGCCATAGTGGCTGATAGTAAAGTTCAGGAGCTGGAGTGGGATGTAGTGGGTCATGAGTTTGTGCGCCAGGAAGTGCTCCAGGTTATGTCAGACAGGGCTCAAAAGAGACCCAGAAGTAACGAAAAGGGCAGTTTGTAATTGAGAGACCATATTGTTGCAAATTTGTGCTAATAGCTCTTCAGCAAATAGTTGTTTTGGGGTTTGGGGGTGTTGTGTTGTTTTGTTTATTTGAGACATGATCATACTATATAGTACAAGCCAGCCTCAAATTCATGGTGATCCTCCTGCCTCTAGATTCGTGAGAGTAGAAATGCACCATCCTAGCCTACTTAACAAAAAGATTTTGTTTTCCTTGTCTTGAGGGCTGGGCACTGAACATGGCCTCCTGCATGCTGGCCAAGTGCTGACTTCTGAGTTACAGCCCCAAGCTAGTAAGTAGGTTTTGAACTATTCAAGATGTTACAAAATTATGATTTGGAGTTTAGGAAGTAGTGTTGTTTCTTCCAAAAAGATCATTCTCTAGCTTAACTGAGTTTTGTTGATTATTATAAGTGACAGGTTATCATGTGGCTCAGACTAACCTCAGAATCACTGTGTAGATGAGAATAACCTTGATTTTATGATTCTCCTGCCTCCACTTCCCAAGTGCTGAGGGTACAGCTTCTGCCATCATAACTGCTGTATGTACTGCTGCAGTTTGATCCTTGGGCCTTGTACATGCTAAGTAGGCACTCTACCAACTGAACTACTTTATTAATGATATTAACTGCCATGTTTTTATACAACGGTGGAATCAACAACTGTGCACTTCTTCCTTTTGGTGGGGTGGTGGGCTGGTGGGAGCTTATTAGACATCCAACTCCCCCTATCTCTCCCCAGCCTCTGTGTCCAGATGCTTGACTGGTTTGACTACCATGGCCACATGTGTATCTCCTTTGAGCTTCTGGGCCTTAGCACCTTCGATTTCCTCAAAGACAACAACTACCTGCCCTACCCCATCCACCAAGTGCGCCACATGGCCTTCCAGCTCTGCCAGGCCGTCAAGTGTGAGTGGGGTGGACTGAGGAGGACACTGGGGAGCCCGTTCTTCTATTAGACCTCTTCTGTGTGCTTATGTGCTGGGCAGGGCCGTAAGCAGTCAGGTTACCTGCACACCTACCATTGTCCTGACATTTCCTACTCTGACCTAACTCCTTGACTGATGTTTTGCTCTCACTGACTGCTCTTTCTCCACACCTCCAGCACTTACTGTCTTTTCCTCATCCCCTCTCTCTTGGAGAAGTGCTGTACAACAAGCACAGAATATTCTTGGTATAGTCTTAGGTTTGTCTAGTGAGGAGCTCTTCTACAAAGCAGATGGAAGAACACTGGATCATCCAGCTGAGGTGCCAGCTTCAGAACCAGAGCACTTCTTCCTCTTCACAGTGATTAGTATTACTGAACTGATTTTGCAGAACATCTGACAGTCACAAAGATCAAACATAAGATCAAACAAAAACTCCCACCTGCGGCACAGTGCTGTTTTCTGTCAGATGAACTATCTGTGCATTTTAGATTACTAAGGTGCTTAGGCCAGGCATTTTTTTATTTAGTTGGAGAGCAGACAGTAGCCCTGTTTAGAGTCTGGGCCTGTCTCCTCTCTAGCTTTGTTCTTGATACTCACAAAGGGGTCAGATGCTGTCAGTTAGCACTAGCCACCTGGAGCAAGCCTGATCTAGCCTTCTCCCCTGCAGTCCTCCATGATAACAAGTTGACACATACGGACCTCAAACCTGAAAATATTCTGTTTGTGAATTCAGACTACGAACTCACCTACAACCTAGAGAAGGTAAGATGGACAGGGGCTGCCCTCTGTCCAAAGGGGCAAACAGCTGGGCCACTTGCTTTTGGTTACTGCTCTGTGTTCTTTTACTGCTCTCTCCTGGTGTGGCTCCAGCTGGGTAAAAACAGTGTACCACACTAACTCGATTTAAGAAGATTTAAATTGAAAGACAATTTGGAAAGTTTTTCAACAGGGTGAAAATGTACACACTGCCTTTTTTAGGAGTGCATTTCTGTGTGATAGGAAAACTCCGCTTGCTTGACTGTCAGAAGTCTCGACACTAGAGGTCGTCTTTACCCTTTGCTACATATTACAGGTTTTCAGAGTACACCAGACAAGTGGGTCCAGTCTTCTGGTGCTTAGAGACTTCCATATTATTCCATAATCATTTCTTAGTCTTCTTCCTTTACTACTCAAAGTACTGCTGTGAGAGCTTGGTGTGTTGGCACATGCCTATAATCCCAGCACTTGGAAGGCTCTGAGGTAGGAAGGAGGATTGCTGCAGATTTCAAAGCAAAGATACATAGTGAAATCCTGCCAGATTCTCCTGGGAGTATAGGAGTAGGTAACATTTTTCATACTCAAAAGCAAGGGGTCTGTGAATCTCAGTCTGACAAGAGATTCATTCCCATCTGCTTTGCTCCTAGAAGCGAGATGAGCGCAGTGTGAAGAGCACAGCTGTGCGGGTGGTAGACTTCGGCAGTGCCACCTTTGACCACGAACACCATAGCACCATTGTCTCCACTCGCCATTACCGAGCCCCAGAGGTCATCCTTGGTAAGGGAGCTCAGGTCTGCCCAGTGTGGGGTCATGTGAGGGTAGCATATCCTAAGCGTCATAATTCCTCTTCCTCACCACGCAGAATTGGGCTGGTCACAGCCATGTGATGTGTGGAGCATAGGCTGTATCATCTTTGAGTACTACGTTGGCTTCACCCTCTTCCAGGTAAGTGGTGGGAATATTACTGAGCTGCTTGATTTCTTGATTTGCCAAGGACATGCCTATTGGGGCCTCCACATTACCCATCTGGCAACTAGTCCCCAGCATTCTTTCCTGAGTTCTGTGCTTAGACCTGTCTTTGTTTCCCAGACCCATGACAACAGAGAACATCTAGCCATGATGGAAAGGATCCTGGGTCCTATCCCTTCTCGGATGATCAGAAAGACAAGGTGAACCTTGAACAGGAAGAACTTACACCCTTCTTTCCACAGAATTTGTCTGTTCCACACCATTTCCTCCCTAGCCCCCACTTATTTTCACATGGGTAACCAAGGGAAAGCATTTATAAAGGGGACCTTCTGATGCACCAACTTCCTTCCCCTCTAGAAAACAAAAATATTTTTATCGGGGTCGTCTGGATTGGGATGAGAATACATCAGCGGGGCGCTACGTTCGTGAAAACTGCAAACCACTGCGGGTGAGCCCAGCCAGGGATAAATATTGTCCACAATCTAAAAGGTTGCTTCTTTGTTGGTGTGGTAAGCAGAGGTTAGGACAGGAGGGGAGGAGTGCAGAAAGAAGACAATTTGATCAACAATGAACAAAGAAGAGAGAATGGTCTGACAGAGGCAAGGATTCTTTAGGTCAGACAGAAAAGAATAAACTAACTTTGAAGAGTTCACATTTTAATGTGGAGCTAAAGAAGATTGAAGAAGTTGACAAGGATTTACAAGTATGAAGGAGTAATTGTGATAGTGGGAAGGTAGGTTGAGCTGTAACATCAGAAACCTTGGTCATAACATTGTTTTGTGTTAAGGTAGCTTTCAAATTGCATGTAAAACTGAGCCTTGGTTCTTTTTCCAAAAGGAAAAGTAGGGCTGTCTAGGAAGCAGGGACAGTGCATAGTTCCAGATTAGCCAGGTGTATACAGTGAGACCCTGCCTTGAAAAGGAAAGAAAGATAATAAGCTTTGTAAGGCACCCTGCCTTAACTTATTCCTGCCCTCCACCAGCGGTATCTGACCTCAGAGGCAGAGGACCACCACCAGCTCTTCGATCTGATTGAAAGTATGCTAGAGTATGAACCTGCTAAGCGGCTGACCTTAGGTGAAGCCCTTCAGCATCCTTTCTTCGCCTGCCTTCGGACTGAGCCACCCAACACCAAGTTGTGGGACTCCAGTCGGGACATCAGTCGGTGACAATGAGGCTTTGGACCCCTTCTGCTTCTTGTGTAGCAGTGGGTGTCCAGTCTAGGACACTGGTGCTTTTTTATACAAAAGAACAGAGCCAGAACTTACCCCCTTTCCCACCCCTGGCTCCTTTATACCTGTGAATATGTGAAATAGTGTAAATATGACAGAACTTGTACCTATAGCTTCAGCGCCTGCTTTGTATATACTGCTATTTACACTCTTCCAACCTCATCTCATGTGAAGTTGGAAGGGGGGCAGATGAGGTAACCAGGTGGTGTCTACCCCATGTTTTATAAGAGATTTTGTACAGTCTTTGTGAAATAAAATTACATGCTTCATCTGGACACACACCCCCATCCCTGAAATTTGAGGATCAAGGGAACTGGGGTAGACCGGTGAGACTGTTGGTAGCCATTCTGCATTTGGGTACAAAGGTGGAGCCTCTTTGCCCTATCAAATTGGAGCTAGACTATGAACTTGTGCTTTGTATTCAAGGTAGTGAAGATTAAAATAGATGCAATCAGGTAGAACTTGTGTGATCTGGAGTAGTTAGTGTTGGAAAATAGCTTTGACTCTGTAAATAAACGGGGTTGTGACGGTAGCCGTGAGGCGCTCCAGTGGATTCTGAAACCCTTGTGGAAAACTCCCGCCACTGGCCAATGCAGAGATTTCGCTTGTATGCTGCCTTTCGTGAGGCTACCTGGGATATGTAGTTCATTCCTGCTAGGAGGTCACGTGGAGGAAGTGCGCGGCCAGCCTGCAGAGACTGGCTTAGTGCTATCACGTGAGGCGCTTTCGGCTTTGGGTTTCTTTTTAATAAGACGCAGGCGCAGTTCGCTACTGCTGCGGGAATCTTCGCAACTTTTCCGGTTGGTTCGGCCAATTGGAGCACAGAGAAACGGGTGGCCCCGGCGCACTAGAGGGAGTTCTCTGGGCCGCTGCCGCAGCCGTACAGCCGCGGCAGGGGCTGTCGGGCTCGGTTGCAAACATGGCTCAAAGCAGAGACGGCGGGAACCCATTCCCCGACTCCGGCGAGCTTGACAACCCTTTTCAGGTGACTTGCGCCGGCCTCCCTTGGCCAGTCTTATTCCCAGGTCTGTGGGGACTGCTATTCCCATTTGTGGCTTTTCACCTAGGGAAAAAGTGTCGCTACCTGGAGGTGACGGTAGCTCGAGACCAGTGCGCATGGGAATCTAAGGGAAAGTGGGCCTTGCCCGTGTAATGAGCGGGTTCTAACTGTGCGGGGTGATGGACTCGAAGGCAAATGTTGGGAACAACGGCGTGGCACCAAGGGCTCAGTGTTTGGAGCCACGAGCAGTTTCAGGAAGTTCCTAGGAATTTCCTTGGCATCAATTGCCCGCTGAGCCCACGTCTCTGCTCTCAGGACCCAACTGTGATCCAGCACCGACCCAGCCAGCAGTACGCTACGCTTGAGGTCTACAACCCCTTTGAGAACCGAGAGGTGAGCAATTAGAGGGAGAACAGAAGCGCAGGGAAAGCAGAGTGTGCCGTAAGCCCGGTCTGTGCGTACTGGGGACTTTTTTTGTTGTTTAATTTTTTTTAATGCAGCGAAAAGATGAGGAGCTGTGTGTTTAGCTCCCTGAGAGACGTCATGCAGCCGGAGCAAAGGAGCCATCTAGTTTTGAGTCAGTCCAGGGAAGAAGACTTTGTTCGAAGAGAAGCGAGGTTGGGGCTAGTCAGAGTTGAGAAACCTGTTAGGTGTGTCATCAGAAAACCATGAGAAGGACCAGTAAAAGGAATTAAAGGGAGGGGGCAGCTATGGGGGGTGAAGCTCGGTTGGTCGGGTGCTTCTCTACCAAATTCACTGCCTGCCCTGGATTTATCCCCACCCCTCACTGATTCTAGCACTTGAGAGGTAGAGGCAGGAGTATTAGACGTTCAGGGTCATACTTGGCTAGTAGCAAATTGGAGACCGTGGTGGATTGTATGAGACCTGTCTCAAAGAAAGAAAAATGCCAAAAGGCTCAACCTGTTGCCTAAACTAAAAACCTGAGTTCAGTCCCCCAAGAACAATGTGGTGGAAGAGACCAAACTCCCACCATGATTGGAGAGTGGGTACACAGACACATGAACTCTCACACAATGAGTAAAAATATATAATTTTAAAAATTAGAAAACTAGCCAGGGTTAGGGGCTAAGAGTGATGGCTCAGAGGTTAAGAACACTGGCTGTTCTTCCAAAGGTTCTGAATTCAATTCCCAGCATCCACATGGTGGCTCACAACCATTATAGTGAGATCTTGTGCCCTCTTCTGGTGCACAAGCACATGTGCAGGCAGAATACTGTATAAATAATAATTTTTTTAATTTATTTTTATTTTATGTACATTGGTGTTTGGCTGCATATATGTCTGTGTGAGGGTGTCAGATCCCCCAAAACAGGAGTTAGACAGTTGTGAGCTACCATGTGGGTGCTAGGAATTGAACCTGGCTCCTCTAGAAGATCAGATAGTGCTCTTAACTGCTGAGCCATCTATACAGTCCAAATAAACAAATCTTAAAAACTAAGAAAAGTAGCCGGATGCAGTGGCGCATGCCTGTAATCCCAGCACTCGGGGAGGCAGGGACAGATGGTTCTCTGTGAGTTCAAGGCTAGCCTAGTCTACAGACTGAGTTCCAGGCTACACAGAGAAACCCTGTCTTGAAAAACAAAACAAACAAAAGAAAAAAATTGTAGAAGTTAAGAAGATGATATGTGGATAAGTGCTTTATGTGTTGCTGAAGCATCGGGTATGAGAGGCTGTGGCCAGGACTACTGCAGCTCCTGAAGGAGTTGTCCACCTTAAGTTCACACAAGAAATACCTTCCTGTCTAGGCACATGGCACAAGGCCGTCAATCCCAGTGCTGACACTGAGGCAGAAGGATTGCAACTTCTAGACCAGCCCAGATGCCTGTTGTCTCAGGAACAAAACAAACAAACAAACAGCGAGGTATCTAACTTGTAGGGAAATGCTGCTCACTTGGATGAAGTGTTCCTTCTGGCTGCAGATGATTTCAGGCAGGCCAGATCACTGTGTTACAAGAGACTAGATGATCTCTCAGTCCTGTCTTCAACAGCCTCCCCCAGCCTATACGCCTCCCACCCCAGCCCCAGCGACATTGCCACCACCCTCAGCTCCCGCTGTTCAGTCCTCAAGAAAGCTCAGCCCTGCAGAGCCCAAGAACTATGGCTCCTACAGCACTCAGGTAAAGAGGGTATACTGCTGGGGAGGGAAGAAGAGCCAGTGCTGGGCCTGAGCATCAGACCTGCCTCTCTCTTGTTGAGTAGGCTTCAGCCGCAGCAGCCACCGCTGAGCTGCTAAAGAAGCAGGAGGAGCTCAACCGGAAGGCAGAGGAGTTGGACCGCCGGGAACGAGAGCTGCAGCATGTTGCCCTGGGTGGCACAGGCAGTAAGTGGGTCCTGGTGAGAGTCAGAAAGAGTCCTTGACAGCTTGGAAGGAGCTACAAAAACACCAAAAGTATGGGTTCATCAGTCAGACTGCTAAATATGAATTTAATTATAGTTGACACTGCTTCTTAGCCATGGGCTCATAACATCATGTGCTGTTTTAAAGATTTATTTATAATATTTTTGTTTTATGTGTATGAGTGTTTGCCTGCATGTGTGTTAATGTACCGTATATGTGTAGTCTACGGAGGCCAGAGGAGGACAACAGATCCTCTGGAGCTGGAGGTACAGCAGTTAATTGTAAGCCACCATGTAGGTGCTGGGAACCAAACCCTGGGCATCTGCAAGAGCAGCAAGTGTCCTTAGCCACCCAGCAAGCCATCTCTCCAGCCCCTTGAGTGATGTTCTTAGAAATTCAACCACTGCTATCCACCCCAAGCATTTGGTACTTTACTTGAGTTTCCTATCTTCTAAAATGTTCTCATTTTACAAAGTAGGGAATTGTGAGGGTTGAAGAAAATCCCCTATGCAAAGTTCTTGGCAGGAGTGTTAGATGTTTCAAATAATGATTATTTGTGTACTATTATTTTTCTGTTCTGCTTTGTTCTGTCCTGAAATGATCTTGTTGTGTAGACCAGGCTGGGCTAGAACGTTCTGTCTTCCTGCCTTGCCTCCTCAATGGACTACCATGCCTCCTATTTTCCACCTTCCGTCCCTTTGGACTCATGATTGAGAAGACTTGGGAGTGGAAGGAGCGGGGAGTGTGTCCCTTACTGATTTGCACTTATTTCTGAGGTCTTCCTGTTTTTGTGTCTTATAGCTAGACAGAACAACTGGCCTCCCCTACCGTCTTTCTGCCCAGTGCAGCCTTGCTTTTTCCAGGACATCTCCATGGAGATTCCCCAAGAATTTCAGAAGACGGTGTCCACCATGTACTACCTCTGGATGTGTAAGTGTGAGAAGTCTTTCTGGGAGACAGTAAGTGCCCCAGAACACTGAGCAATATACTTACCATTTCTTCAGGACTGACTCTCTTATTGTATGTGTGTTCTCAGCCCTCCCTTTCCCTCTGTGACCATGCTTAAATGTATTATGAATTCTTGCAAAGTTTTTGCAAGGAGATCATGCCTGATCTGTGGGATTGATCCCCAGGGCAAGGGGACCGTCCTTTCCCTCTGCTGCCACATTTGGTGAGGCCCATTGGGCAGGTATTTATGACACATGCTTCATCACAGTCTAGAAGGTCTCTTCACCCTGTCCCTCTGCCCCTCAGGCAGCACTGTGGCTCTTCTCCTGAACTTCCTCGCCTGCCTGGCCAGGTTCTGTGTGGACACCAGCAGTGGCTCAGGCTTTGGGCTGTCTCTGCTCTGGCTCCTCCTTTTCACCCCCTGCTCCTTTGTCTGCTGGTACCGCCCGATGTATAAGGCTTTCCGGTAAGTGAGAGGGGTGAAGGAAGGTCTGCGGTGGTCCTGCTGCTCCTCCTCCAATCCTGATTTTCTAATTCTCCCACACTTCATTTCTTTTGTCTTTGCAGGAGTGATAGTTCATTCAATTTCTTCGTTTTTTTCTTCATTTTCTTCGTCCAGGATGTGTTCTTTGTCCTCCAGGCCATTGGCATCCCAGGGTGGGGCTTCAGGTGTGTGAACTGCCATCCTCACCTCGTCCTCCCACTTTTTGCAGCTCAGTTATAGGGTAGGAATTGTCCATGAAAGGGTCATGTGGGCTTTCTCTTTAGAGGCTAATTTAACAAGTCAGGAAATTCCTTGGCTAGAGGGAAGAGACAGTTGTAGCTAGGAAAAGGCTGAAAAGGATCTTCCTAAGGAAGGCTATGTCACAATGGTTGAAAGAACAAGGGAAGCTGGGCAGTGGTGGCACACACTTTTAATCCCAGCACTCAGGAGGCAGAAGCAGGTGGATTTCTGAGTTTGAAGCCAGCCTACAAAGCGACAGTCAGGGCTGCACAGAGAAACCAGAAAGAATTTAAAAAACAAAAACCAGGGAGCACCTTTAAGTGAGTAGGATCTGTTCTGAGTGAGCGTGCCAGGAGACCTCGGAGCTAATACTTCGGAAATGAGTTAAAAGCGTGAAGAGAATAAATGTAGTGGGCCTGGTTCATGAAATGCCGCCATATTGGCAGAGGAGCGACCGCTGTTGGGAATAGAGGGTGTTCGCTGCATACCGAGTGAACACTGAGAGAATAGAGCCCCTGCAGAGAGCAGCCCCTCTTCACCAGCACATTCTCTCCCCACAGTGGCTGGGTCTGTGCTCTCGTGGTAGTGAAAGACAACACAGCTGTGGCTGTGCTCATGCTGCTGGTCGCCCTACTCTTCACTGGCATCGCTGTGCTGGGAATTGTAATGCTGAAGCGGGTGAGAGGCTGGGTGGAAGGTAGGGCCTGGGGGTGAGCTCATGGGTCCCCAGGGGGTGCAGTGGAGCATTAAGGAACTGGAGCAGGGCAATCAGAGGGGCGGGTTATCAACTAATGGACTTTCTTGAGTGGGTGAGTTTGTGTGTTTGAGGGAGTGCCAACCCAGTAGGAAAGGCAAGAACAGCAGAATTCTGGTGAGCTTAGGGTGGGATGGTAATGTTTCTGCCATCTTTTTGCAGATCCACTCCTTGTACCGCCGAACAGGTGCCAGCTTTCAGAAGGCCCAGCAAGAATTTGCAGCTGGTGTGTTCTCTAACCCTGCAGTTCGAACTGCTGCTGCCAACGCAGCTGCAGGGGCTGCTGAAAATGCCTTCAGGGCCCCGTGACCCCTACTGGGATGCCCTGGCCCTGCCACCGTGGGAACTAAGGTCCCTGTCCCTGAAGTCTCTGTGATTCAGGGAGGCACCACCGCTTGGTGACTCTTACGGGACTCTTAATTCCACAGCCATGACTCTAAACCTGACTTGGAGGTGTGGGAAGCCCACTGGGACTCAGTCATTACTTGCCTTTATCTCCCATTTGGCCACACTGCTACCACCGCTCACATACCCCAAACCCAGTTTTCCTCTGCTGTGCCAAGGATGTCTTCTTCTGTTATTTAAATTAAAAAAAAAAAAAAAAAAAGTGTGACTGAAACTCACCCATTTCCTGGAGATTATGCCATTTGAAAGAGTGTGGAGTGGTGTACTGGAGTGGAGGCACCACAAAGTACATTGCCAGAGAGGTTGATCATGGCAAACTGGGCAGGGCGGGGCAGGGTGATAGGCCTGGAGACATAAGGAAGCCCCAGCCCCTTTCCATTATTGATGGGCAGCCACTTCTGCTGAGAACTCTGCATATCAGGAACCTGAGGCGTTGGGAAGGGCAGAAAATGGGCACAGAAATTTAACTGGCCAGGCTTGTGGGCAAGGCTAGAGATAGAGGAAGGCCTCTTCCCATCTCCTCCCATCCCCAGAGTTGCTTTCGGACTACAGCTCCCGGGATGCATTGCAACACCCACCACACCCCTCCGCACTACGCACCATGCCCCATCCTCCACCTCCACAGCCTGACCTGCTGCAGCTGCAAGAGCTAAGGAAGCAGAGCATGGTGGGGAGGGGAGCGGGTCCGCGACCCTGGAGACAGTTTCCGCAGCCTCTCCCCACCAGGCGTCCCTGGATTGCCAAACGCACCTCTAGTCCCTGCATGCAGACCTTAACCCTCTTTTGTAGACTTCTTTGCATCCCTCTCGCTTTTGTCCTCCCCACCCTTCCCTAGTCTCCGGAACGCTACTCTCTTCCGTCTGGGATCAGCCCTTCTCTGCACCCCTCTTCATTAAGGAAATGCAATGAGCTGGTGCCCTCGCGTCCTCATCGCTGCCCCGGGCACGGTACCCATTTGGTGGTGGGAGGGAGCCCCTCACTGTCCCTTCGTGACGCCCCTCCTTTGGGCCTCCCTCCAGCTGGCGTCCCTGGGCGATGCCCCAGAAGACCTAGCCAGGAGGTGGGCTTTACAGCAAGGGCGCTGGATAGGATAAAAAACCTGGCCTTGGGCGCCTCTGAGATGCTCCCAAGTATCAAGGGGGACCGAGCGAGGTGTGGGCAACCGGGCGGCAGGCATAATGCCCTCCCCTAGTAACTCCAGCCGCTCGCTGACCAGCCGGCCCAGTACTCGGGGCCTTACTCACCTCCGCCTCCACCGACCCTGGCTGCAGGCCCTGCTCACATTGGGGCTGGCCCAGGTGCTCTTGGGCATCCTGGTGGTAACCTTCAGCATGGTGGCCTCCTCTGTCACCACCACCGAGAGCATCAAGAGGTCCTGCCCATCTTGGGCTGGGTTCTCGGTGAGTCGGGTACAAAGAATGCACAGTACTGGGGTGGGAGAAGCTTCTCAGGTTCCACGCCTCCTCACCTGCAAGCCCACATGCTCGTCCTTCCTTCCTCTCCCGGGCTTCTCCCTCCTTGCAGGGCTGGGTGCATCCTGTGGCGAGGGGCTCACTTAAGGTGCTTCCCCTGCCAGGCTGAGCCTGTGCCCACTCTGTCCTTAGCTGGCGTTCTCCGGGTTGGTTGGCATTGTGTCCTGGAAGCGGCCATTCACTCTAGTGGTAGGTGCCAAGGCTCGATGTCCACTGGGAAGCAGGCGCCCAACACCAGACGGGATACCCTTTATACCCTCAGGAAGGGAACTGGCTTTCCAGTTGGTGCCAGGCTGGCAGAAAGTGTCTGTTAGGACTAGAGGGTGGCTTATTTCTGTGGAAGAGCAGTAGCAGTACTGGTGAAGGTCTCAGCCTTGAGATAACACCATCTTTCCCCTAGATCTCTTTCTTCTCCTTGCTCTCGGTGCTCTGTGTCATGCTCAGCATGGCTGGCTCCGTTCTCTCCTGTAAGAATGCTCAGCTGGCTCGTGACTTCCGAGAATGCTCCATGGTGAGATTTGAGGTGGGAGACCTGGAAAGAACTGGTTAGGGGGAGGTATGCAGGACCCCTGAGTTTGCTCTGATCCAGGCTGCCTTGCCCTTTCCACTCCAACACAGGAAGGGAAGGTCTGTGTGTGCTGTCCCCCTATTCCACTACACAGACCCTGTCCAGAGTGGGGCCAGGAGCTGAAGGTTGCCCTTAACTCTACCTGTGATGAAGCCCGAGGGGCCCTCAAGGTGAACATGCCCTCTCCATTCCTGCTGCCCTCCTCTCCTTGGGTTCCTAAGTATTAGGGTTTACCCTTCCTGGGTTCTTTACCCATCTCCTTTATCTTCCCTTCTCCAGAACCTGCTCTTCAGTGTCTGTGGGCTCACCATTTGTGCTGCAATAATCTGTACCCTCTCCGCTATTGTCTGCTGTGTCCAGATCTTCTCCCTGGATTTGGTGCATATGGTAAGAAGGGAGCCAAGGCCCAAGCAGACAGATGTGGTAGGAGCCAGGGGTATTTGCTGGGATTGGGCCTGCCTAGCATAGCTACAGGTCTGGATTTTGAGCATGGGGCTCTGGGTCACCTGAGAATATTATTTGCAGTGATATTTAGGGCCAAAGGGAGAATGAGGAAGACTGGATGGGGTGAAATTGAGACGATCCTAGATGGAGGTAGGGATAAAGGATTAGTAGTCCTGTGGTGACAGGGAACAGGTGACAATTACAGACAGATGTGGAACTAAAAAGGAGAATTGTATGGGTGGGCAAGGCCTGAGCTAGAGGTGCAGAATGGGGCCAGGTTGAAGAAGGAGCTGGGTGTGGTTGTGGAAGAGTTGGAACTGGATCTTCTTGGTGGAGGTAAGGCCATAAAAATAGTAGAAAAGAAAGAAATTTGAAACTAGGCTTGCTTCCTAGCAGCTGGCCCCAGAACGTTCAGTCTCAGGCCCCCTAGGGCCCCTGGCTTGTACATCCTCGCCTCCTGCTCCTCTCCTACACACCATGCTGGACTTGGAGGAATTTGTTCCACCTGTGCCCCCACCGCCCTACTATCCTCCAGAGTATACCTGCAGTTCAGAGACAGATGCACAAAGGTAAGGCTGGGTGAGGTCCTGCTGGGGGACCTAAAGAAGATAACTGGGGCTGGGCCTTGGACTGGTGGGGAGGCAGAGTGTGGAGTAGGAGTTGTTTTCCAGGCCCTGATCCTTTCCCTCATCCTGCCAGCATCACGTATAATGGCTCCATGGATAGCCCAGTGCCCTTGTACCCTACTGATTGCCCCCCTTCTTACGAGGCCGTCATGGGGCTACGAAGAGACAGCCAGGTGAGGAAAGGACTTGGTGCTGCTGGGAACAGTGTATACAGCCTGGAAAGCTGCTTGATAAGGATGCCAGCAGTTCTCATGATCTCTGTAGCATACCTACTGTCAGTTTTGATCTGCCCTAGAGCTGCTGAGGTGGGTGGGAGATGAGCTAGTATTTCTCTATTAAAGATGTGCGGCTGCGTGTAATAGTTCACTCTTGTAATCCCAGCACTGGAGAAGCAGAAGCAGCAAGTCCACAAGATCGAGGGCAACCTGGTCTACATAGAGAGTTCTGGGCCAACCAGGGTCTTCAGTGACCCTGTCTCAAAAAGTAAATAAAAATGAAAATATAGAATCTGATGCTCTCATAAGTGACTTACGCAAAGTTAACTGTAGTGAAATATGCCTATAATCCTAACACTTGGGAAGTAGAGGCAGCAGAGTTCAAAAGCTAATCTAGGCTATCCTGTCTCAGAACACAAACCGAGCAAAAAGCAGCTAACTCATATACAGCGACAAAGCTGGTCTGGAATCTCTGGTCTCCAGAGCTTTTTCCAGTCACGGGAATGGCCATGTCAGTGTGAAGGGCTGGACTTTCGATCCTGTGTCTTTGCAGGCCACTCTGTTTGATCCTCAGCTTCATGATGGCTCCTGTGTCTGTGAGCGGGTGGCCTCCATTGTAGATGGTGAGCAGAGTGAGTGGGTAAGGGCAGGGTGGGGCCATAAGGAGCAGAAAAACAAGGCTGAGTCCAGCTGACAGTTTGGAGTTGAGGACTGGGTCTGTCTGTCTCCTTGAGGATTAAGCGGGAGTCAGAGGGGCTCAGGAAGAGCAGCTGCTCTCCTGCAGTCCTACCTAGTCCTACCCTTGCCACCCACAGTGTCCATGGACAGCGGGTCCCTGGTGTTGTCAGCCATTGGCGACCTGCCTGGGGGCTCTAGCCCATCAGAAGATTCATGCCTGCTGGAACTCCAGGGCTCTGTGCGCTCCGTCGACTATGTGCTCTTCCGCTCCATCCAGCGCAGCCGGGCAGGCTACTGCCTTAGCCTAGACTGTGGCCTGCGGGGTCCGTTTGAAGACAGTCCCTTGCCACAGCGACCCCCGAGGGCTGCCCGCTCCTATTCCTGCTCAGCCCCAGAAGCCCCACCCCCCCTGGGTGCCCCCACAGCTGCTCGCAGTTGCCACCGGTTGGAGGGCTGGCCACCCTGGATGGGACCTTGCTTCCCTGAGCTGAGGCGACGGGGCCCCCGAGGAGGAAGCCGTTCTGCTGCGCCCCCTCCTGCCCGAGCCCCAGCTCGACGCTTCAGTGATAGCTCAGGTTCCCTCACCCCACCCAGGCACAGGCCTCCTCACCGGACACCCGCTCCACCACTGCTGCTGCCAAGGTCTCACAGCGACCCAGGCATCACCACCTCCAGCGACACTGGTGAGCCATTCCTTCGCTGGTTCAGGGAAGGGTAATCCACCAGGATTGGGAGCCTGTGAGGTTCCTGAAGGGCAAGAAAGTGAAATTACTCCCGCAATGCCCTTCCTGAGTGCTTACCTCCGAGGAAGAGGCTTCATGGCTAACCAGGAGGGAAGCCTTGGTTGGTTGTTTTTTTGTTTTTTTTTTTTTTAATCATTTCCACAGCGCCTAAGCCTGGGCTACATAACCATTCAGTGTATAGCAAGAGATCAACTCTGCGAGTTACTGAGAAAAGAGACAAAATGAAATGGTTCACAGCCACACAGGAAGTGCCTGAACCCCCATCTGGTTACCCTAAGCAGAGCTGGTACTGAAAGGAGGCTGCAGCGGTGAAGGACGGTTCTGTAGATGCCATCTTCCTACATTATACCGTCTAGCTATAGGCAGAGATGATCACCTCTGGAATGATGATGGAGTGTGAGAAACAGGAAAATCCCATTGAGCTTGGACTCTCACCAGACAGTGAGCGGTGGGAGGAG